GATTTGTTTTCAAAACAAAATTAAATTAAACTGAATTGTTGTAGATTTTAAAAATGTTTTCTTGTGAGGTAGACGTTCTATTAGCACACATATAAGAATACATCAAAATAGGATTAACAAAAACATAAAAGGTGTGTCAGGAGAGGTCAAGAAGCCAACAGGCCTCACCTCTTAAGAGACAAATAAATCAACTAAACAAATCCAATTACACAATTTCAAAACAAAATTAAATATAAACACATATACAGTAACCTATACACGTATTCATGCACACACTTAGACACATACAAACAATTAAAAGACTGAGAATGTTAACCCTCTATCAGCTAAATGAAACAGGCATTAATCTATTAAAATGGGAGTGAATGAGTTAGTTGAGGGAAAGAAAAAAGAAAAGATATATATTTTATATATGCAAAAGTTTGACCTCATGGATTAAATATGAAGACAGTTTCCTTTTAAAAATCTCTGTAGACGAAGAGTCGTTAACAACGTGTCTTTTGGAATTCCATATGTGTACCCCACGATATCTGATGGAAAACTGACCGTGTTTGGTTTTATAAAAAGGAAGATGGAGATGATCAATCTGTCTGGTAGAATATGAATGAATCTGGGAATTCAGTTTAAAAAAATGCTGAAATGATGATGATAAAGAAAAAGGTAACATATATTTATATATAAACACACATATCTGATGTATATTGATATCATAAACTGAAAGAATGTTTAGTTTTTTGAAGAGGGGGGCAGATGTTTCTGTTGCTTTGGAGAAAGTTGCCAATCTTACAAAACGTTTCTGCAACATATAAAGTTTAAGAAGGTGAGAGGGATAAGTGTTTGTCCAGACAATATTACCATAAATCAAATACGGATAAATCATAGAGTAATATAGAGTTAACGTACAAGATAAATTAATAAAACTACAAAGTTTGCTGATGATCCCCAAGGACTTCACAATTTTTTTCTGAGTAAATTGAATATGATTTTTCCAATTTAACTTCTCATCCACAAGGATTCCTAAGAATTGAGTTTGTGACACTTGAGAAATTTCATTTCTATCTATTGAAACTTTAGCATAATCCCTCTGATACCTATTTCCTTTACCTGTGAATATGATGAAATTTGACTTTTTACTATTTAATGAAACCATTTTGCAGCACTCACCAATTCTTCATTTGTATTATTTATGAGGGTGTGTAAGTCACTGTGAGATAAGATCATGTTGGTATCATCAGCAAAAAGAATAGGAGAAGAAAGTTTGCAAGCTAAAGGGAAGTCATTAATATAAATAAGAAATAACAAAGGTCCTAATACAGATCCTTGTGGTACTCCACATGTTACATTAAGAGTGCTTGAAGCACAACCATTGATTACCACATACTGTTCTCTCTCACTCGTATAATTGGTCAACCACTTCAGTGTGTCACCTTGAAGACCATAATGTTGTAATTTAGCAAATAAAATATTGTGATTGACAGAGTCAAATGCTTTAGACAAGTCTAAAAAAATACCAAGTGTGTATTTATTATTATTTGTAGCTGCCTGTATTTTGTCTTTGAGCTGTAAAAGTGCCATATAGGTAGAACTGTCCTTTCTAAATCCATATTGATGTTCATATAAGACGTTATTTTCATGTAAATGTGTAACTACTCTTGAGTAAATTAACTTCTCGAGAATTTTTGAGAAACAAGGTAAAATGGATATAGGATGATCATTTGTAAAATGTCTTTGATCACCAGATTTAAACAGTGGTATAATTTTTGCTCTTTTAAGCTCTTTCGGGACAACACCAGTGGCCAGAGATCGGCCCAGGGCATGAGTGAGAGGTTCCAATATGTAATCTGATATTTCCTTAATTAAAGAACTACCAATTTCTTCATGGCCAGCTGAGGTATTTTTTTTTATTTTTAATGATGTCACTTACTTCCTTTAGCTGTGGGGGCTCAAAATTTGAGATACAGCCATATCTTTTTTCTAAGTAATCTCAAGGCCTACCTACCGTGTTGTCAATTTCATTTGAGAGAGAAGCACCTATATTTGCAAAAAAGTTATTAAAGCCACAAGAGATTTCATATGGATCATTAATGAGTTTATCACCATTCAGAAACTGAGAACTCGTGCCTAAAGATTTTTTCTTCTTTTTATTTAGCAGTTGGTTGATAATATGTCGATTTTATATTATTTGTTGATTCCTTAAACTTCTTTGAAAAGTATATTTTCTTAGCTGTACGTAAAATATGCACATACTTATTTTTGTAAATTTTACATTCTTTCAAATTAAGGGGAGTTGGATTTGATATATATTTTTTGAATAACTTGTTTTTTTTCATAGAGGATTTTTTAAGACCTGAGGTGAACCAAGGTTTGTGAAAATCAACTTTTTTTTCTTTTATCCTCTTGAGGGGAAAACATTGGTTCAATGAGCTAACAATTTCATTCATAAAAAGGGAGTAGGCTAATTCTGGATCTTTTTCATGAAGAACTTTCTCCCATGACATGCTTGCTATTTTCAATTTAAAAATGTCCATATTTTTCTTGGTGTATAATCTCTTGTAATTAATAACTGGCTTTTTTGTTTCTTGAACCTTATAAGCCACACCAAAAATTGGCAAATGATCCGAAATGTCAGTATGTAATATACCACTATTTCATTCCCAATCAAAGAAATTTGTAAAATATTGTCAATTAGAGTTGCAGTTGTAGCTGAGATCCTAGTTGCCATATGAATTAGAGGATCAAAGTCATTTGAATACATTGTATTTAGAAATTCTGCAGTTTGTACATTATTCTCACTTTTAAAATCTCCAACAAGGTAGCAAACTTTACTCTTATATGACTTCAAGCACACCTGTTAACTGTTTGTTAAAAATATCAATATCTGTATTGGGTGGACGATAAATAACACCTACAATTATGTTTCTTCCCCCAAGAGAGCAGCTTGACATAATTTCAAGAAATACACATTCTGTGATGTTGGACTCAAAAGTCCCAAGATCACCTCTGCTGATGAACTGGTAATCTTTGTGAATGAAGAGAGATACTCCTTCTCCAGTTCTTATTTCTCTTCTCCAATGGATAGCTTCATAATCAGAAATATCATACAATGAAACTATGGATTCATTTAGCCATGTTTCAGTTAAAGCTATTATAGAAAACTTATGATCCAAGCATGAAAGATAATGCTTTAAATTGTCATAGTTCTTGGATAAGCTTTTAACATTGATGTGAAAAATGGAAAATGTTTTGGATTTAACAGAAGATGGTAAATTTTTGCATATCAAGTTAAAATCTTCTTGATAGTATTTACATAAATCTGGTTTCTGCAAAAAGGTCAGAAAGTTAGAGTCAGGATCGTGTTCATTACATCTATGGCTTATCTTATTTTCTAACGGAGACAAAACTGAGATTTCATCATTAACATTAAGAGGTCTATCTGTTGTAGAAAGTCATTCCTCACTGTCCACATTTTGGAGCGGAAATGCAAATGTTTTTCTGTTTTGATTCATAGAAGGTTAAGAAGAATACAGAAACAAAAAAAATAAAACAAATATGAGCATGTCATTAGAAAGCAGAGTGTGGTTGGTGAACAATGAGCTGATCATAACGTAGATAAACAATGTGAGCCTTTTCTCCTCCACAGGTTGAGGCCTCAGCTCCACTCGTCTCCTTCTCACACTGTCTGTCAAGTCTTCATTTACCAATTTGCCCATTTCTATATGAGGCTGTGAAGACGTGGAAAACTGTGTGTGTCTTATCTGTGTGTGTGTGTGTGTGTGTGTGTGTGTGTATGCTCGGTGCATCGTGGGAGAGTCGTTACTGAAGGGGAGTGTGTTTCCATCACGAACCAGTTCACCTCAGGAAACCAGTGAACCCAGCGGAGCCCAGGTCAAGAGGCTGATAAACATCTCACACACACACACACACACACACACACAGATAAGACACACACACACACAGATAAGACACACACACACACACACACACACACACACACACACACACAGATAAGACACACACACACACACTCACAGGCTCACACACACACACACGCTCACACACACACACACACACACGCTCGCACACACACGCTCGCACGCTCACACACACAGACACGCTCGCACACACACACACGCTCACACACACATGCTCGCACACACACACGCTCACACACACACACGCTCACACACACACACACACGCTTGCACACACACACACGCTCGCACACACACACAGACACACACAAACACGCTCGCACACTCACGCTCACACACACACACACGGTGGTGGTTAAAATGGCGGGGACAGAGGTTATTTGAAGTTAAGGCCCGCCCCCCCACCGGGACATCTGCACCTCAGGAGTCTTTAATCGAGCTCTGTTGTTTTTCTACGTCACCGTAATTGATGAAAATGGAGGTCATGAAGTCTTCTCGTCGATCTCTTGCATTTTAAGTTCCACCGGTAAGGTCGACCGACCGGCGGGCCGCCCTCAGAGGTCGACCGACCGGCGGGCCGCCCTCAGAGGTGGACCGACCGGCGGGCCGCCCTCAGAGGTGGACCGACCGGCGGGCCGCCCTCAGAGGTGGACCGACCGGCGGGCCGCCCTCAGAGGTGGACCGACCGGCGGGCCGCCCTCAGAGGTCGACCGACCGGCGGGCCGCCCTCAGAGGTCGACCGACCGGCGGGCCGCCCTCAGAGGTCGACCGGCGGGCCGCCCTCAGAGGTCGACCGACCGGCGGGCCGCCCTCAGAGGTCGACCGACCGGCGGGCCGCCCTCAGAGGTCGACCGACCGGCGGGCCGCCCTCAGAGGTCGACCGACCGGCGGGCCGCCCTCAGAGGTGGACCGACCGGCGGGCCGCCCTCAGAGGTGGACCGACCGGCGGGCCGCCCTCAGAGATCGACCGGCGGGCCGCCCTCAGAGATCGACCGGCGGGCCGCCCTCAGAGATCGACCGGCGGGCCGCCCTCAGAGGTCGACCGACCGGCGGGCCGCCCTCAGAGGTCGACCGACCGGCGGGCCGCCCTCAGAGGTGGACCGGCGGGCCGCCCTCAGAGGTCGACCGGCGGGCCGCCCTCAGAGGTCGACCGACCGGCGGGCCGCCCTCAGAGGTCGACCGACCGGCGGGCCGCCCTCAGAGGTGGACCGGC